AAGGCTTATATAACAGGAAACTGAAAATTTAAATACCCTAGAAAAATGAAAACTCAATTTTTCAGAAGAATCTCAGAAAATCTCGGTCTTATCAAATTTACCGTAAAACCTGTATTAGAAGGGCCCCCAGCCCTTCTAATACAGGTTTTACAGTATTTCTAGCCTAATTTCAGCATATTTGAAAAGTATTTGGAGCTCCTTTCCGACCTATTTGAAAACTTTTTAAATTTTTTTTCTATTTTCAGTCTAATTTCAGTCTACCGTAAAACCTGTAATAGAAGGGCCCCCCCTCCTAACTTCCGTCTTTGAGCTAACTTATCTCGGTTCCTGTGAAAGGTATAAAAAAGTTGTCAACTGATAAATTGTTTATCATAATATCACCAATATTTTATTAATTAACACCATTTTGATATCTCTTATAGGAGCCGAGATAATTGAGCTCAAACTTCTAATACTTCTATTACAGGATTTACGGTATTTTCAGCCTTCAAAATCCCTCTACCTTTGCGTATTTTTCCTATAAAACGGAAATCTCTCCATTATATACTTATAAATTTCCGTCAACGGCAGCATCTTCTCATCGGAATCCTGAATCGCCATATAGGTCAACCATATATAGGAGTACGGTGGCTTTTGCTCATCGTAAGAGTCTTTTCCGGGTCTCGGCATTTTGAAGACACGGAAATCCGGATAAACAGAAGTACAGACAGAGGAAATAGGAAAATAGAAAATTAGTATTGTTTGAAAAGGAATAAGACCTTAGTCAATGTCTTCTAAGAAAGTGGGCGGAGCCTATCTGGTAACGAGAAACAGTGGGCGGAGTCAGCGAATTGGGAGAAGACGTACAAAGTGTATTCTTAACAGTTGCTGTCAAATTTGTATTGTTTTATAGTATAATAGTATTCTTATAACCTAAAAAAATTTTTTGGGGGGGGGGGGGGGAACTGGTAAGATGTCAGGGGGGCCGGGGGACCCCCTGGGGTGAGAAAACCATTGTTTTTGGGGATAGTGGGGGAAAATGGAAATCCGGGTGTATTGTGTTGATGAACTGGTAATATGGCAATAATGGGGGAAAATTAAGGGAAAATTAGAGTTTAAAAATTTTTGGGGATCAAAAAAAAATTAAAAAATTTTTTTTTTTAATTCCGATTTTTTTTTTGAAAAATATTTTTTGGCCGAATAGAGACCAACATTAAGATAGTTAAAAAACCAAAAATTAGGATTTTCAAAAAAAAAAATTATGAGATTTTCTGAAAATTTTCCAGATTTTTTTCAAGAAAATTTTTCTTGAAATTTCTGAAAAAAATTTTTAACGTTTTTCATTTTTTAACAACATTCGAACCACAAGAGTGTGAAATTTCCTAATGGGCGGAGCCTAGATTTTGAACACCTCCTGCCTGTCACAAACGATTAGAGGGGTCTTCTAGGGGAGGCCCCACACCTACAAATTGGATTATTTTCTCAATTCTCGTCAATTTTCGGAAGAATGAAGGTGTTCAAATATTTGAAGTCTGAGAAAATTTTGAAATCTGAAAAAAAACGTTATTTTTGAAAGAAAATTTGGAATAATTTCTGAAAATTCATAGAATTCAAAATTTTCGATTTTCCCGAAAAAAGAAAATTCTGGAGTTCGGAAAAACTTCTTTTTCAGTAAACTTGAAAATTTTGAAATCCTGAAAATTTAAGTTTTTTTGGGTTTTTCGATCTGAAATTCTAAGATTCTGAGATTCTGAGATTCTGAGATTCTGAGATTCTGAAATTCTGAGATTCTGAGATTCTGAGATTCTGAGATTCTGAGATTCTGGGATTCTGAGATTCTGAGATTCTGGGATTCTGAGATTCTGAGATTCTGAGATTCTGAGATTTTGAAATTCTGATATTCTGAGATTCTGAGATTCTGAAATTCTGAAATTCTGAGATTCTGAAATCCTGAGATTCTGAGATTCTGAAATTCTGAAATTCTGAGATTCTGAAATCCTGAGATTCTGAGATTCTGAAATTCTGAGATTCTGAGATTCTGAGATTCTGAAATTCTGAGATTTGGAGATTCTGAGATTCTGAGATTCTGAAATTCTGAGATTTGGAGATTCTGAGATTCTGAAATTCTGAGATTTGGAGATTCTGAGATTCTGAGATTCTGAAATTCTGAGATTTGGAGATTCTGAGATTCTGAGATTCTGAAATTCTGAGATTCTGAGATTCTGAGATTCTGAGATTCTGAGATTCTGAGATTCTGAGATTCTGAGATTCTGAGATTCTGGGATTCTGAGATTCTGAGATTCTGAGATTCTGAGATTTTGAAATTCTGATATTCTGAGATTCTGAGATTCTGAGATTCTGAAATTCTGAGATTCTGAGATCCTGAGATTCTGAGATTCTGAAATTCTGAGATTCTGAGATTCTGAGATTCTGAAATCTGAGATTTGGAGATTCTGAGATTCTGAGATTCTGAAATTCTGAGATCCTGAGATTCTGAGATTCTGAGATTCTGAGATTCTGAGATTCTGAGATTCTGAGATTCTGGGATTCTGAGATTCTGAGATTCTGAGATTCTGAGATTTTTGAATTCTGATATTCTGAGATTCTGAGATTCTGAAATTCTGAAATTCTGAGATTCTGAAATCCTGAGATTCTGAGATTCTGAAATTCTGAGATTCTGAGATTCTGAGATTCTGAAATTCTGAGATTTGGAGATTCTGAGATTCTGAGATTCTGAAATTCTGAGATCCTGAGATTCTGAGATTCTGAGATTCTGAGATTCTGAGATTCTGAGATTCTGAGATTCTGGGATTCTGAGATTCTGAGATTCTGAGATTCTGAGATTTTGAAATTCTGATATTCTGAGATTCTGAGATTCTGAAATTCTGAAATTCTGAGATTCTGAAATCCTGAGATTCTGAGATTCTGAAATTCTGAGATTCTGAGATTCTGAGATTCTGAAATTCTGAGATTTGGAGATTCTGAGATTCTGAGATTCTGAAATTCTGAGATCCTGAGATTCTGAGATTCTGAGATTCTGAGATTCTGAGATTCTGAGATTCTGAGATTCTGGGATTCTGAGATTCTGAGATTCTGAGATTCTGAGATTCGGAGATTCTGAGATTCTGAGATTCTGAGATTCTGAGATTCTGAGATTCTGAGATTCTGAGATTCTGAGATTCTGAGATTCTGAGATTCTGAGATTCTGAGATTCTGAGATTCTGAGATTCGGAGATTCTGAGATTCGGAGATTCTGAGATTCTGAGATTCTGAGAGTCTGAGAAAATTTTGAAATCTAAAAAATTGGATTTTCTGGACAAAAAAAAACGTTATTTTTGAAAGAAAATCTGGCTTTTCCATTTTTCCGAAATTCCTAATTTGAAATAATTTTTGAAAATTCATAGAATTCAAAATTTTCGATTTTCCCGAAAAAAAGAAAATCGGGAAATTCCGGAAATCTGAAAATTTACGATGACTAAAATCAGCTTCGGTGGCCGAGTTTTTGAGTTTCCTAGGCCACCAAGTTCCTTATAAGCTAGTTCCTTTGACAATCCTACTGTAGAATTTTTTTTCTCAAATTCCCCGTTTCCCAGAACTTCACCCCATTTAAACTAATTATGATCTACTTCCATGTAATAAAACTTTTTCCTAAAAACTTTTCAAGGATTACGGTAACCCATTTTCTCACACCCTTTTATTCTTCATCTTCCCTCATTCATAATATAGGGTGTTATATATGGAAAAAGTCAGGAATTATTATTATTACCCCACACTACTACTCTTTCCTTTTTTTATTGGATTTCATTAAATTAAATGGATAGAGAATTTATTAGAGACCAATGGTACTAAAAACGTTGGGTGGATAGGGATTCTAGAAGAATTTCCGATGAGATTTGTATCAAAAAAAGGAGGAGAAGAAGAAGAATAGAAAATGATGTGTACTAGAACACATCATCAATAATATCATCCACCAGGTTCTGTATGTCCGGATGTATGTCGCGTGCCCGTTCCCAAATTCAAAGTTAACCCAATTTAATTCGGTTCCTGATAAAGATATCAAAAAGTGGTCAACTAATAAATTGTTTATCATAACATCTTATACATTTTATCAGTTGACACATTTTGATAGCTCTCATAGGAGCTGAGATAACTAAGCTCAAACTTGGCAGTGTGGGGGGCCCTTCTATTACAGGTTTTACGGTATTTGAGAATCTGAAAATCTAGATTTCTTTTTGGAATTTTCAAGGAATTCTCAGAATTTCAGAATCTAGGAAATTAGAATCCTAGCATCTGAAAATTTCAGATATCCGAAAATTTCAAGAATTTCAGAATTCTAGAATTCCAGTGAAAAACCGAAAAAATCTGAAATTCTCAAACGTTTTCCAGATGGCAAAACTCTCTTCGTCACAATTTGTCCTTCAACGATTGCTTCATTAAAATCCCCAGACGAGCCGATCGGCCGGGAAAGGTGAGATTTGGCTGGAAACATTTTCAGCAAAAAACTTTTTTTTTAATTTCTAAAAATTTTGAAAAAATCGGTCTGATTTTCATGAAATTTGGCTGAAAATACCTTCAAAATGTATTTCAAATTCATTGAACTCATTTTCAAATTTTTAGAATTTTCGATTTTTTCCAAAAATCAAAAAACCGAAAATTCCAAACTTTCGCCTTCAAATCATTATAAAATAGGTCAAAACTCTTCAAATTTCAAGAAAATTAGGTTCAAATTATTCAAAATTTTAAGAAAAATCCGATTCACAGAAAATGAGATAATTGAGCTCAAACTTGACAGTATGGAGGCCCTTCTATTACAGGTTTTACGGTAGGTCAAAGGTTATAATACTGAATTTTTGGGTTTTTCGAAAAATGAACATTTTCCAATAAAATCTGAAAAAAAAACACATGCTTTGATATTGGACACTTTTCTTTGCTTTTTAGGAAAAATGAATTTTTCGGATTCTTGGACTAGCCGAAAACCTGCCATGAAACGGCAAAAACAAGGCCGCCCTCCTCCGGTGACCAGTTAATCAAAAACGGTTCGCTCTCTATTCTTTTCCTAACAAGGGCACGTTTTGATGTATTCCCCTCTCTCTCTCCCTGACTCAACCTACATAATTTCCTGTCAATCAAAATGGACACCTCTCTCTCTCTCATTTTGATTCCTTTTAAAGGGACAAGAGGGAACTCGACGTATCCCCAGGGACCTAGAAATGCAAACAAGCCAAAAGTTGTAAAATTCCAGAAATCTAAAAAATCGTAAAAATCCTGAAATTCTGAAAATTCCCAAAAATAATGAAAGTCCCAATTCCTGGAAAATTCTAAAAATCCTGAAATTTGAAAAATCTGAAAGTCCAAAAATTTCAAAACTTCTGAAACTTCTAAAAATCCTAAAAATCCTTTAATTCCAAAAATTCGAAAAATTCCTGAAAAATTCGAAAAATCCCAAAAATCCTAAAATTCTAAAAACCTGAAATATTTTGAAAGTCCCTAAAATTCGTAGAATTATCAAAAAAAAATTGTAGGATTATCAAGATTTTCAGAATTTTGAGGGATTTTTTTCAAACTTTAAAGTTCCAAAAAAAATTCTGAAAAAAAATCTGAAAATCGTGAAAATTTGATTTTCAGAATTTTTAAAGAATTTTTTGATTTCTAGGATTATAAGGATTTTTAGAATTTTCAGAATTTGAAGATCGCATTTTTCGGGATTTTCTGGAAAAAATGCTAATGCTGAAAATTCCAAAAAGTTTGAAAAAAAGAGTCTTAAAACTCTGAAAAATCCTCAAAATCTTAAAATTCTGAAAATCCTGATATTTCCGAAATATCGAAAAAATTTTAATAAACTAAAATTACTGAAAAATCCTCAAAATCTTAAAATTCTGAAAATCCTGATATTTCCGAAATATCGAAAAAATTTTAATAAACTAAAATTACTGAAAGTCCCAAAAATTCCTAGAAAATTCTGAAAATACTGAATTTCGAAAAATCTGAAAGTCTGAAATTCCCAAAATCCAACATTTCGAAAAATCCCAAAAATTCTAAAAGCCTAAAATATTCTTTCTGAAAGTCCCAAAAAACCTAAAAATTGCTAGAAAAATCCAAAAATTCTGAAATTCTGAAAATCCCAAAAATTCTAAAAATTCTGATAGTTCTAAAATTCGAAAATCCCGAAAATCCCAAAAATTCCTAGAAAATTCTAAAAAATCTGAAAATCCCAAAAATTCTAAAAATCCTAAAAATCCGTTTTTTTGGTCCAATATTGTTTCTTTTTGTTCTAAATTTCCTGCCAAAAAGAACATCAAAGGGTTCCGTATATTGGCATACGGTTGACTGCAGACGTGACGGCGCCGCGCCCGTGTTGTCATGTACGCTCCATTGAGCAAATGGATATTGGATTTGGAGGAAAAAAAGAGGACAGTTAACAAGTCTACTTTAGCTATTTTGTAACATCTTTATCCCTTTGGCCTTTGGCGGTATAAACAGAAAAAAGGAAACAAAAAAAAATGGTTTCGGAATTTTTTTCGGCTTTATTTGGTGCTTTTTGGAGGGTATACAGTGTGCTGGTTTCGAGAAAATTCTGAAGGGATTCAAAAATTTCAGTTCAGGATTTTTGAAATTTTGAAAATCCAAAAAAACGCAGAAAATTCTGCAAATTCTAAACACCTTTAAAAATCCTAAAAATCCTGGATTTTTTGAATTTTTAGAATTTTTCAGGTTTTTAGAATTTTTGGGATTTTCAGAATTTTTGGACATTTAGGATTTTCAAGATTTTCAGGATTTCCGGAAAGTTTTGGGATTTTTAGAATTTTTTGGAATCTCCGGATTTTCAAGTATTTTGGAAGTTTTAAAGTTTTTTTAGAATTTTTAGCGTTTTTGGAAATTTTGGATTTTTGGGATTTTCCGATTTTTAGGATTTCCATGATGTTTGGATTTTTAGGGTTTTTAGAATTTTCTAGGAATTTTCAGGATTTTAAAGATGTTTAGGAGTTTTAGAACTGTTGGGATTTTTTAGAATTTTTCGCATTTTTAGGATTTTTAAGATTTTGAGGATTTCTAGATTTTTCAGATCTTTTTAGACTTTTTGGATTTTCAGATTTTCCAGAACTTTGGAATTTTTTGACTTTCTAGAGTTTTCAGAACTTCTAGGACTTTTAGAAATTTTTGGGATTTTTAAAATTTTCGGAATTTTCGGAATTTCAGATTTTTAGGATTTTCATACTTTTTGGAATTTTCTAGGAATTTTAAGGCATTCAAAGATATTTGGGAGTTTTAGAGTTTTTATGATTTTTGAGATTTTGATAATTGTTTTGAACTTTTGGGATTTTTCAGAATTTTCGGGAGTTTCAGAAGTTTTTGGGATTTTTAGAAATTTCAGAATTTTGGAATTTTTCCAACCGGAATTTCCGAATTTTCAGAAATCCAGCCATTCAAAATTCAGAAATTCAGATATTCAGAAGTTCAAAGATACAAAAATTTGGAAATTCTGAAATACGAAAATTTCAAAATTCGGAATTTTTTTTGTGTTTTTTGCTAATTTTTTTCAGACGAAGTTCAGATTTTTAGGCTGAGAAGGTTCATTTTTCAGAAAAAAAAAGGAACCTAAAATTTTGAATTTCCTGAAGAAAAAACGATTTATAAACCAAAATTTATAATTTTTAGCTTAAAAATTATTTTTTCAAATTTTTCCTTTTTTTTGCAATTTTTTCAAATCAGATTTCCAGATTTTCAGCCAATTTTTCCGCTGAAAACTGTCTCAGATGCCACGTCGACAAGGATTACTGTAGCTTGTGCACTTTTGCGTCACGGTGTTCGCAACTTTTTGCACCAAACCTTACGAGCAAACAGCGAACATGTTTCTTTTTGGCCTAAATTTGGAACTTTTCTTTCAATTTTTCACGAATTTTAGCTAAAAAATAGGTTTAAAGATAGAAAAACAACAAAAAAACGACAATTTTCGACTAAAATCATGAATTTTCATCAAAATTCATATAAAAAGTTGAAAAAATTCCCAAAAAAATTTTCTTTTCGGAATAATTTCATGCGATTTTTTCATGGTTATTTTAAGCTCATTTTCTCATTTTTATTGAATAAAATTTTTTCAAAATTTTTCAAATTTAGCTGAAATGACCGAACGTCGTTCCGACCGAATCGCCAGCAAGCCAACGAACGAAGCCGTCGAAATCATCCGATGCCCGTGCAAGAGCACCGAAGAAGGCGACGATGTGATGATCGAGTGTGAGGAGTGCAAAACTTGGCAACATGCCAAGTGCATGGGAATCCGTTCCGACGTCGCCGCTGACACGAGAAACTATCGCTGTGAGGAGTGTGAGCCGTCGCGACAGACGCCGAAAAGAGTTCAAAAACGAACTAGTCGAGGAGCTTCTGGAGATGCTAAAGTGAGGATTGGGGAGCTCATTTTCAGAAAATAAGGGCTAAAAATTCAAAATTTGGGCTAAAGTTTGGCTTTAAAATCAAGTTTTCCAGCCAGAAAACTTGAAATTCGGCTAAGGAATTGAAAAAAATCCACTTAAATTTTCAAACTTTCGAATTTTTTCTCTGATTTCCAGACAGAAAATCAGAAAATCCAAAATTTTTCGGTCAAAACCATGAAAATTGAATCAAAAATCATGAAAAATGCTGATTTTTTGACTGAAAATTCCCTGAAATTCCCTATTTGCAGCCAAAAAACATTAAAAATTTGCGATTTTTGACTCAAAAATTGGGTTTCTCGGCCAAAAATTATCTTCCACTTTTCGTCAAAAAAACTTAGAAGTTCACTATTTTTCGCCCCAAAAAATCCCTAAAAAATCCCATTTTTCAACCAAAAAATATCAAAATTCATCATTTTCTGCCCTAAAAGTCCCTTAAAAACCGTATTTTTTCAGAAAAAAAACCCAACATTTACCATTCTTTGGCCGAAAATCCCAAAAAAGTTGCAAAATTTCAATCAAAAATTCTCATTTTTGACTCAAAATCCTCAAAAATTCCCATTCTTCAGTCAAAAAAAAACTAAAATTCCGCATTTTTTGCCCTAAAATGATGAAAAATATCTATTTTTCAGTCAAAAAACCCCAAATTTCATCATTTTTTGTCCTAAAAATCCCTTAAAAATTCCTATTTTTCAGCCGAAAAACATCAAAATTCATCATTTTCTGCGCTAAAAATCCTCAAAAAATCCCATTTTTCAGTCAAAAAAAACTGAAATTCCGCATTTTTTGCTCTAAAATGATGAAAAATATCTATTTTTCAGAAAAACCCCAAAAAAACAAAAAACCCCAAAATTCATCATTTTCTGCGCTAATAATCCCTTAAAAATCTCATTTTCAGTCAAAAAATCATGAAAGTTCGCTATTTTTGACTGAAAATGATGAAAAATATCTATTTTTCAGCCAAAAAAACATAAAAATTCAAAATTTTTCGGCCGAAAAATCCCAAATTTACAGTCAAAAAACACTAAAATTCTCCATTTTTTTGGCCTAAAAATCCCGAAAAATTCCTATTTTTCAGTCAAAAAACACTAAAATTCTCCATTTTTTGTCCCAAAAATCGCTTAAAAATTCCACTTTTGAGTCAAAAATCCCCAAAATTCATAATTTTCTGCCCAATTTTACCCCAAAAGTCCCAATTTTCCAGGCACCCACTCCTCGAAACCACTTTGCCCCATTCGCAACGGATTTCTCCGCAATTCTGGAGTTTCTCGCCGCCAAAACCGAGCAAATCCAAAGTCCACTGGTGATGACGAAGGCGATGGCGGAGTTTAAAGCGCTGAAAAATCATCATAGACAGGCCAGGGATTTGTCTATTTCGTTTCGAAACAAGCTGGCGCCGATTCTACACACTTTTGAGGATTTCGACGATGAGACCATCGTCAGAATCATTTTTGGAACCAGCAGCCCCGTGGATTCGGCATTTTTGGAGAAGTTCGTGTTGTTTTGCGCCGGAAAATTTGGGAAATTTGACCCGAAAATCCATAAAAAATGACCTGAGAATCTAGAATTTGTATCAAAAATCAAAATTTGTGTCAAAAATCAAAAAGATGAAAATTGGCTCGAAATCATTGAAATTTGGTCAGAAAATTGTGAAAATTGAAGAAACAAAGGTTTAACTTCCCTGAAAAATCCATAAATTTTGACCCAAAAATCATAAAAAATGACCCAAAAATCATGAAAAATGACTCAAAAATCATGAAAAATAACTAAAAAATCATGAAAAACTACTCAAAAATCATGAAAAATGACCCAAAAAGCATAAAAAATGACCCAAAAATCATGAAAAATGACTCAAAAATCATGAAAAATAACTAAAAAATCATGAAAAACTACTCAAAAATCATGAAAAATGACAAATGAAAAATGAAAAATGAAAAAATTTTCAGCCATTTCGAAAAAATCGCAAAATATGACTAAAAAAAATCGTCATTTAGGGGTCAATTTTCATGGTTTTTGGGTCATTTTTCATGATTTTTGGGTCATTTTTCATGATTTTATAGTCAATTTTTATGATTTTTGGGTCAATTTTTGTGGGTTTCCAGCCCGAAATTGCTCATTTGTCTCATTTCCAGACTCAAAACGAGCGCTGAAATCGAACTGGACACCCTCCACCGTATCACTCACTACAAATCCGCCACCCTAGAGCTACGCGGCCGTCATACGTCACGTGGAAAGCACCATAATCGTCGTCGTCGCGCAATCAGAAGACCAACAACGCCTCCAGAATCGTCGGCAGATGATTCAGAAGAAGACGACAGTCTAGAAGACGTGACGCCAGTTGAGAAGCGTCAGGCGTTGATGCCTTCAGAAGGCATCGTCAAGACGGAGATTCAAGACGCAGGCTTCTACAGTAACCACAACGTTTCGGCATATCAGAATTCCATGACAACGTCTTCTTCGGATATTTCGAATTTTGGGAATTTTGGATTTCCGAATCCGATGATTCCGGTGGGCGCACCGATTCAAGGAAGCGCGGAGTTTATGCATGCGATGACCAGTTTCGTCAATTCGGTGGCTGGCATGATGAACGCGCAGACGGAGTTTGTGAGATCGGCAATTGAGCAGCAGAGGTTGGTTTTAGGCATAACGCCCACAACTTTGGAAAAATTCAAAAAATTGGAAAATTTGATCCAAAAATAATGAATTTCAAGTCATTTTTTATTTCAAAAAATCGACGAAAAAAGCATGGATTTTTGAGGAATTTTTCATAAAGAATGTTGAATTTCGTACATTGCTCAGCCTTGATAAAATTTGAAAAAAACAATTTTTGCCCGAGAAATGGGCAATTTTTATGATTTTTCCAACTCAGAATCCTTTTAAAATTGACCCGAAAACCATGAAAAATCACCCAAAAATCATAAAAATTGACCCAAAAGTTTCCTGAAAATCGCCAAATTTACTCAAAAAATTCAATAAAAAATCATGAATTTTGACCGAAAAACCCTGACAGTTTGATCGAAAATCCATAAAAATCGCTCGAAAATCATTAAAAATCGACCGAAATCTTCAAAAATAATGAAAAATGACCCAAAAATCCTAAAATTTTGACACAAAAATCATAAAATTTGATCCAAAATCTATGAAAATTGACTCAAAAATTCCTGAAAATCGCCAAATTGACCCAAAAATCATAAATTATGACACAAAAACCCTGAAAATTTGATCGAAAATCGGCAAAAACCCGTTAAAAATGCTGAATATTGGGAATTGCTCAGCCCTGATAAGCCAGAAAATCCATGAAAATTGACTCAAAAATCATTAATTTCGACATAAAAACCCGGGAAATTCGAACGAAAATCCCGAAAATTGCCAAAAATCGTCAAAAATCATGAATTTCGACCCGAAATTTTCAAAAAATTCGATAAAAAATTGTGAATTTTGACCCGAAAATCGCTCAAAAATGCTAAAAATTTGATCAAAAATCGCTGAAAATTCCCCGAAAAAATCGCTCAAAAATCGATTTTTCTGAAATTTTCAGGAAAAAATCTCACATTTCGACTCAAAAAACCGGTTTTTCCAGACCAAACGTCTCCCCAACCACCTCTGGCGTCATCCCACCATCACCGAAGTCTTCCTCATCTGAATTCTCGTCTTCGCCCCGCCCACTTTCATCGCTTTTCCTCAAATTCATCAGAACATGCATTCATCACCTTCCAAACGCCAGCCAAAACGCCCTTCTTCACTCCGTCAACCGCAAAATCGACGCCTACAAGGGATTGCAGCCATCTGGAGATTCAGAAGACGTCAAAATCCAAATGATTAAAATCAAGACGGCCCTCCAACTGATCTACAGCCTTCTGACGTCGTCTTCTGGCACTTCTGAAGGCGTCCCAAGCGTTGTTAAAACCAAGAATTTCATGACTATCATGGACCAGTTCATCAGTGAGGATTGCCACGTGGATTCGGAATTGATCGATCTTCAGACGCGCATTCGACGCGCGGAATCGAGGGAAATTTCGGTGAAGATGGTGCAGAATGCGTTGGAATCAGCGTTGGGAATCGTCGTGCCAATGGAGATGATGCCAGAAGGAAAAATCGATTTTTAATACTTTTTTTGGCTGAAAATCCTAATATTTGTCTGAAAAACCCTGTTTTTCGAAGTGTTTTTTAATGAAAATCCCCGGCTTTTTTTTCAAAAAATCTGAAAATTTGAAATTTTCAGAAAAAAATCTTTTTTTGAATTTTCTCGAAAAATCAGATTTTTGATAATTTTTATGGCTAAAAATCCTCATTTTTTGAACTTTTTTTGTTTAAAAAAATCAATTTTTCTGAAATTTTTTATCCATTCTTACGTCTTCTACTGTACCCTTCAAGTTTTTTGTCTTTTTGAAAAATCTGAAAATTCGAATTTTTCAGAAAAAATACAATTTTTTGGCTGAAAATGCGATTTTTGACGTTTTTTTAACTGAAAAAATCAATTTTTCTGAAATTTTTGACCTGTTTTTTTATTTCCTACTGTATTCTTTTCCCTTTTCATTTTATCAAAAATTTTCAGATTTTTCGAATTTTTTTTTTGGCTGAAAATGAAATTCATATGTTTTTGTTTTTGAAGAATCTCTTTTTTTTGTAATTTTTGACGCATTTTTATGTTCTCTACTGTACCCTTTCATGTTTTTTTTCTTTTTTTGAAAAATCTGAAAATTTTAATTTTTCAGAAAAAAACAATTTTTAGCTGAAAATGCGATTTTTGACGATTTTTTAACTGAAAAAATCAATTTTCTGAAACTTTTGACCCGTTTTATTGTTCCCTACTGTATAACTTCTCCTTTTCTTTCCAGAATATGATTTTCAAAAAATAAATTTTTTTTGAATTTTCTCGAAAAATCTGAAAATTTGAATTTTTCAGAAAAAAACAATTTTTGGCTGAAAATCTAAATTTTCCAACTTTTTTGGCTGAAAAAATCAATTTTTATACGATTTTTTGATTTTTTAAGAATTTTCCAAAATCTCCCCTCCCAATGTTTTTAATGCACAGCTGTTATCGTTGTTTTGTTTTAAATACACAGATTTTTGCCTAATAAACCAGAAAATTTCAGATTTTCGAATTTTTCAGCATTTTTCCCCCCTAAACCCCCCAAAAAACCCAATTTTTAGGCCTGAGAACTCTGAAAATCACCGAATGACGTCACAATCGCGCAAACGCGCTCCGCCGCACCTATTTTGCAGTTTGGCGCGAGCGCGCCAATTTCGCGCATTCGAATCGTTTTACCGCATTTCCGCCTAGTTTCTTCATTTTAGGTCATATTCACCGATTTTTCTCGTTTTTCAGGGTTTTTAAGCTGAAAAATCAGATTTCGGAGTGTTTTTTTACCTAAACTCGTCAGAAATTCATCGAAAAAGTGTAAATTTGGGTCAGGATCGAAGATTTATGGAGGAAAAGGAAATTTTTGGTTTTTCACCGACTTTTTTTTTCATTTTTCATGGTTTCTACACTGAAAAATCACATTTCGAAAGGTTTTTTGACCTAAAATCAAATCCATCAAAAAAGTGTAGATTTTGGTCAGATTCGCAATTTTTCGGTTTTCTTGGATTTTCACCGATTTTTAAACATTTTCCATGGTTTTTACACTGAAAAATCAGATTTCGGAGGGTTTTTCGACCTGAAATCGGCCAAAATTCATAAAAAAGTGTAGATTTGGGTCAGAATTCAGTAAAAATTCGAAAAAAAAAATTTGTTTTAAAATTTTTTAGGTCTTTCTAGGCAATATTAACCCATTTTTCTCGATTTTTCCCGTTGTTTCCACCCAAAAATCACACCAAAACCCCGATTTTTTGCAGGTACAGTACTAACTTTTCGAAAAAATGGCCGATCGTGGAAACAACGGAGACGATGCGCCACTTCCCCATGATCCAATGGTGGAGGAGGAGGAGGACGATGACGACGACGTCGACGCCATTGATGAGATGTTCAACAACGAGGAGGAGGATCCGGAGGACGAGGAGGGCGAGAATCTCTTCGGAGATGATATGGAGAGGTGGGGAAAGGGTGAAAAATGAGCTAAAATGATGGGAAATGGACCAAAAATGATGACAAAACAGTCAAAAATCGTCTAGAAACGGTCTAAAACCTTGTTTTTAGACTTTAAAATCGCTTAAAAATGGCAAAAAATAGCTAAAAACTATGAAAAATCGCTCTAAAATCTCCTAAAATCGCTATGAAGGGGCTGAGAAATGGCTGAAAATGAGCTAAAAATAACTGTGAAGGGGGGCTGAAAATAGCTAGAATTCCTCTAAAAATCGTAAAAATCGTGCGAAAAACCGTCGAAATTCCATATTCAGAGACTATGTGAAATTGGCTGAAAATTATTGGAAACAGGCTGAAAATGGTGAGAAAAACGCTAAAAAAAAGGAAAAATAAGCTATAAAAAGACCTGAAAATGGTTAAATGGTTAAAAAATGGCTGAAAATGGCTGAAAACTGGCTGAAAATAGCTGAAAATAGCTGAAAAATGGCTGAAAAATAGCTGAAAAATGGCTGAAAATTACCTGAAAATAGGCTGAAAATGGTGGAAAACTGATCAAAAATTGGTAGAAATGACTCTATCTGGCATATTTAGGCCGTTTTCAGTCCCAGAAAAAAGTCATTTTTAAGCCTAAAAATCGCTTGAAAACGTCTAAAATCGCTCAGAAATGACTTCTAAAACCTTTGAATATTATGAAAAAAGTGCTCGAAAATCGCCTAAAAATGAACTAAAACCATTCTGCTTATGACCATTTTCGTCTATTTTTGAGCCAAAAAATCGCCTAAAAATGGCAAAAAATAGCTAAAAACTATGAAAAATCGGGCTCAAAAAAGATCATTTTGAGCTCAAAATTGCCATTTTTAGCCCTAAAAATTGGAAAAAGGGTCATTTTTGAGCCAAAAAACCGCTGAAAATGGTCATTTTAAAAATCGCCTGAAATCTTCAAAATGTCGATTTTCAGAGACTATCGTGAGCAACCGGAGCTCGATCAATACTCCGAGTCGGGAATGGACGATGCCTCCGACGTAGGCTCACTCTCTGTGGATGCTCGCCGAGCCGCGGAGCGCGCAATGGCTCAACGCGATCAACTGATGGACGACGAGGCGTTGATGTACGATGAGGGCGACGACGAGTCGACGCCAGCCAATAGAAGACGTCGTGGACGTGGCGATCGAGGAGACGACGACGTTGACGAGGCGATGGAAGAGGACGAGGAGGTTCCCGTTGACATTCTGGAGAATATCCGTGGAAGAACGATTCGCGATCACGTCAGCGATGAGGCGGTCGCCAGAGAGATTGAGCGTCGGTTCAAGGTACATAGCGAGACGATTTTGGACCTAGAAATCATGAAAATTGGGGTTTTTCGGCGATTTTGAGCCTAAAAATGCCGAAAAAATGAGCAAATTCGCCAAAAATTTATAATTTTCATCCAAAACCCCCAATTTTAGCCGAAAACTTTGATTTTCAGCTCAAAAATCCTGAATTTTCAGACCCGAAAAACCCCCAAAATTTTAGCTAAAATCCCCAAGTTTCAGCCTGAAAAACTCAGAATTAGACTCCTAAAAACCTTAATTTCAACTTGAAAATCCCGTATTTCCGCCCCGAAAATCCCAAATTTTAGCTTAAAAATCCATGTTTCAGCCCCAAGAAACTCCGAATTATAGCTCTAAAAATCGCTTAAAAATTGCAAAAATCGCTCTAAAATCTCCTAAAATCGTCAAAATTCGATTTTAGAAGCTGTTTCGGGCTCAAAAAAGAAAAATAACTTTTTTTTTGTTACATATCGAAATATGTCATTTTGAGCCTAATTTAAGCAAAAAATTCAGAATTTTGGCATAAAAACTCGATTTTCAGCCCGAAAACTTTGATTTTCAGCTCAAAAATCGGAATTTTCAGCCCCCAAAAAACCCCCAAAATTTCAGCTCGAAAACCCCAAATTTCAGCCCTAAAAACCCCATTTTTCCAGAACTTCCTGCGCTCCTACCACGAGCCGAACAACAAACAAATCAAGTACATTCAACTGATCAAAGCGATGGCCGCCGACAACAAGGAGTCCCTCGAAGTCAGCTTCACCGATCTCTCGGACGACGCCGGCGAGCAGAACATCTCCTATTTCCTGCCAGAAGCGCCAAACGAGATGCTGGCCATCATGGATCGTGCCGCCACCGACGTCGTCATGAACATGTATCCATTCTACACCCGCGTCTGCTCCGAAATCAAAGTTCGCATTTCGAACCTTCCAGTCGAGGAGGACATTCGAATGCTTCGTCAGGTCCATCTGAATATGCTCATCCGGACGGCTGGCGTCGTCACCATCGCCAGTGGAATCCTACCACAGTTGGCTGTGGTCAAGTATGATTGTGTAGCGTGTGGCTACTTGTTGGGACCATTCGTTCAGCAGAACGACGAGGAAGTGCGGCCAACGATCTGTCCGTCGTGTCAAGGAAAGGGTCCGTTCGAGTTGAACGTGGAGAATGTGAGTTTTGGAGATTTTAGAGGGGGAGAAGAGGGAGGGCAGGTGGCCTAGAAATGGGAAAAGTTAGGCCACCGGAAGAATCCAAGGAAATCCCAAAAAATCTAGACCAAAAAGTGCCCAAAAATGAGCTCCAAAACAAGCAAAAAGATTGATGGCCTAGAAATCTCATATTTGGATTTCTAGGCCATCAATTTCCAGGAGGCCTAGAAACACGGGAAATTGGGATTCTAGGCCATGTGAGAAATCCAGCGAAATCTAGACAGAATTTGACCCAAAATCGATAACTTTTATTTTTGGGTGTCTAGGCCACCACCGTTTTGAGGCTATTTGACAGCCTGGACTAGCTTTAAACCTCGTGGCCTAACTTTTCAAAATCTCGGGATTCTAGGCCACACCTGAAAGCCCGGAAAATTTTAGACCTAACTTGAACAAAAATAAGCTTCAAAAACAGCGAAATTTGTAATGGCCTAGTAATATCCGAATTTGGATTTCTAGGCCATCAATTTCCAGGTCTTGATCCCTGGAATAATGGTGTCCCAGACATCAGGAAATTGGGATTCTAGGCCATGAGAAATCTAACGAAATCTAGACTAAAATTGAGCTAAAATAAGCCTTATAGACAGCAGAATTAATGGTGACCTAGAAATTTCAAATTTGGATTTCTAGGCCACCATCATTTTTGTGATTTTTCAGAGATTTTGGGTTTCTAGGCCATCGGTTTGAGACTATTTGACATCATGGACTAGCTACATACCTCGTGACCTGACTTTTCAAAAGTGTGGGATTCTAAACCATTTCAAACTTGGTGGCCTAACTTTTTTTGGGTTTCTAGGCCACCAATTTCATTAAAGTCTTGGTGGCCGAGATTTTGAGATCTTTGGGTTTCTAGGTCATCATAGGGAGAAAGCCTCACTTTTCACATTTTTTGAGATTCTAGGCCACCTTCATTTTTGAGGTTTTCACTGATTTCGGGATTCTAGGCCATCGTTTTCCGGCTGTTTAAAGGTGGGGGGACATGAAAAAAAAATAATGTTCTCGAAATTCCGTTCAAAGATGCCTCTCGAGGAGTTGAACTTGTGAGGACGAGGATTGGGGGTGCGGCGCCGCTACCGACTGAGCTACGCGGGCAAAGAGAGAGCGGCACCTTGATTGCATACATAAAGGCGAGGACGACAGCTGTACGCAGAGTGACATTAAGCGTTGTACACCGTTACGGTAGAATGCATACTCTGGCCCCAAAAATCCCCCGTAAAATCTCTTGTCCCCCCGCCTTTAAGACTGCCTGGACTAGCGTTATACCTCGTGGCCTAACTTTTCAAAATTTTGAGATTCTAGGCCACGCCAACCAAACGAACCAATTCCAATATTTCCAGACTGTCTACCACAACTATCAGCGCATCACAATGCAAGAATCGCCGAACAAGGTGGCCGCCGGACGTCTTCCCCGCTCCAAAGACGTCATTCTTCTTGGAGACCTCTGTGACTCGTGCAAGCCAGGAGACGAGATTGAGGTCACCGGTGTCTACACCAACAACTTTGACGGATCGCTGAACTACAAACAAGGATTCCCAGTGTTCAACACGCTGATCCACGCGAATCATATCTCCAACAAGGATAAGATGGCATCAGATCAACTCACTGACGAGGACATCAAAGCGATTCGAGACCTGTCCAAAGATCCGAATATCGCGACTAGAGTGTTCTCCTCGATCGCTCCGTCGATCTATGGACACGACGATGTGAAGCGAGCCATTGCGTTGGCGCTGTTCAGAGGAGAAGCCAAGAATCCCGGGGAGAAGCATCGGCTGAGAGGAGATATCAATGTTCTCCTCTGTGGAGATCCAGGAACCGCCAAGTCCCAGTTCCTGAGATATGCTGCTCATATCGCACCGAGATCTGTCCTCACTACTGGTCAAGGAGCATCGGCTGTTGGTCTCACTGCCTATGTGCAACGCCACCCTGTTACTCGAGAATGGACTCTGGAGGCTGGAGCCATGGTGTTGGCTGATAAGGGTGTCTGTCTGATCGATGAGTTCGACAAGATGTCCGATCAAGATCGTACATCTATCCACGAAGCTATGGAGCAGCAATCCATCTCAATCTCGAAGGCAGGAATCGTCACTTCCCTTCACGCCAGATGTACCGTAATCGCCGCTTCGAATCCTATTGGAGGACGCTACAACCCAACTAGGACCTTCGCTGAGAATGTGGATCTTACAGAGCCCATCCTTTCAAGATTCGACGTCCTCTGTGTTATTAGAGATTCTGTGGATTCTGTGGAGGATGAGCGTTTGGCCAAGTTCGTCGTTGGAAATCACAGACAACACCATCCAGACGCGCACAGAAAGTCGAAGGATGAGCAATCCCAAGAAGAGCCAGAAGATCCAGAAGAGCACGAGGAGGAGAAGGTCGACGAGCGCACGGGAGTCCGTCTGATTCCACAGGACCTCCTTCGCAAGTACATCATCTACGCCAGAGAGCGATGCCATCCAACGTTGGGCGCTCAGCACTCGGAGAAGCTGTCGAGCATTTTCGCTCAAATGCGAAAGGAGAGTATGGCGACGGGCTCGGTGGCGATTACTGTACGTCATGTCGAGTCGATGATTCGTTTGTCGGAGGCGCACGCGAAGTTGCACTTGAGAAGGTGGGTTTTTGGGTTTCTAGGCCACCTGGAAGCTTAGAATTCGGATTCTAGGTCAGGGACTAGTTTGGGAGGTTACTGAACCACCTAGAGTGATTTGGAGGTTTCTAGGCCACCTGGAAGCCGATATTTGGAGTTCTGGGTCATCGGAAGCTAAATATTGGCATTCTGGACCGTCAAAGTACACTCGGAGCCAGTTTGAGAGGTTTTCTAGGCCACCGGGAGCAGTTTAAAGGATTCTAGGTCATCTAGAGCTGAAATTTGGGATTCTAGCCCACGGGACCAATTCAAGAGATTTCTAGGTCGTCAGGAGCGATTTGAAGGGGGCTTCTAGGCCATATAGAGCCGAAAATTGGGATTCTAGGCCATCAGGAGGAATTTGGAGGTTCTAGGCCACGTGGGAACTAGTTTTTCGAGCTAGAGATGTTTCTAGGTCACTAGAAACTATTAGGGACTAGTTTTATTGGAAAATAGGAGTTCTAGGCCACCTGAAGCGATTCGGAGGTTTCTAGGCCATCAGAGAGCATGGAGACTGATTTGTGAGGTTTCTAGGCCATCTGGAAGCGGAAATCTGGTAGTTTCGGCCATCAGGTGGGATTTGAAGGTTTCTAGTCCACTCCACAGTATGGGGACTAGTTTTTAAGGTTTCTAGGCCACTATGAGCGGTTTGGAGGTTTCTAGGCCACCAGGGAAGATCAGGAACTAGTTTCCGTGAGAGAGCGAATTTCTAGGCCATCAGCAGGTGGTAGGAGATTCCTAGGCCAGCAGTGAGCAGGGGGACTAGTTCGCGAGGTTTATAGGCCACCTGAAGCGATGTGGAATTTGCTAGGCCACCAACTAGATGGCCTAGGAAGCTCCTAGACCATACATAACTCAAAATTTCCAATTTTCAGTTATGTGAACGACGATGACACCGCCGCCGCCACGAGAATCATGTTGGAATCGTTTGTCAACACGCAGAAGGCGTCGATCATGCGTCAGATGAAGAAGACGTTCTCCAGATACCTCACCGAGAATCGATCGGCCAACGAGCTCCTTTTGTTCGTGCTGAAGCAGTTGGTCCGTCAACAAATGCACTACGCGGCGGCGCGCGCCGGCGGCAATACCGTAATCCAAAGTGTCACCGTCGCGGAGTCGGAGTTCATTGAGAAGGCCCAACAGCTGCGTATCGAGAATGTGAAGCCGTTCTACACGTCGGAAGTTTTCGCGTCGAACAACTTCATCTATGATCCATCGAAGAAGACGATTGTTCAGGAGATTTTCTAAATTTTTAATCTTTTTTTTTGGCTTTTTTACCCCTGAAAATCTGAAAAATCGTCCGGTTTTACCCCTAAAAATCTCCTATTTTCACCCATTTATCCTCAATTTTCACCCCAGAAAATATCTCATTTTGGCTTATTTTACCCTCTAAAAATTACTATTTTCACATATTTTCACTATCCCCCCCCCCCGTTGCTTGAAAACCCTTGATACTCATCTTATGTTCTTTTTGAGCCTATTTTTAACCCAAAAATCGATGATTTTGAGCATTTTTGACCCCAAAATGGTAGATTTTGAGTCATTTTTTGTCCAATTTTGACCCGAAAATCGAGATTTTTTGACCCCTAAAATTGATGATTTTGAGCATTTTTTGACCCCGAAAATCGACATTTTCAGTCAATTTTTGAGCATTTTTGACCCCGAAAATGATATATTTTCGAGCCATTTTTGGCATATTTTAAATACCAAAATCGAGATTTTTGGCTAAAAAGTCACCGAAATTTTAGATTTTTTTTTCGCAATTTTTGGCCTTTTTGACCCAAAAAATGCTTCATTTTACGTCCAATTCCACATTAAATTTGAAATTTCTGGCTCAAAATTGGCCAATTTTCTCTAATTTTGGCTCAAAAAATGTCGAGAAAACGGTCCATTTTTCATCTATTTTCGGCTCGTTTTCCACCAATTTTTATCCAAAAAAATCTCGAAAATTGCTCATTTTCCCCTATAATTTTGGCTCAAAAATTTCCCATATTCCCATTAATTTTTGATTTTTGATCCCATTTTTTTTGTGTACCTTTTGGTATATTGATTGATTGATTGGCCTTGAAATGAACACACACATTGTAGATGTGCAAAAATAGCGAAATTCTGTAATTTTTAATTAATTTCAGACTTAATTGGATACCATTAATTATCTCTATTTTTTCCAGTTTCCATTTTTTCTCAAATTCCCATTGCTCAGCCTTAACTGGTCTTTGGTTTTTTTAAAATTTCTTTTTTGCCGATTTTGAGTTCCGTGGCCTAACTTTTTAAGGATTTCTAGGCCATCATTGAATTTGCAATTTTTGGCCTTTTCCGGATTACAAATTGCATTCGATGGCCTAGTTTTGAGCTTATTTGGGTTTCTAGGCCATTTCAAACTTGGTGGCCTAACTTTTTTGGGATTTCTAGGCCATTCAAGGTTGGTGGCCTAATTTTCCAAAATTTTTGGGATTTCTAGGATAGAATCATTTTGAGGCTATTTTGACTGTTTCGGACTGGCCTAGTTTTTTTTGGATTTCTAGACCACCATCATTTTCAGGCTATTTTCGACTCGCTGGCCTAGCTTATCACCTCGTGGCCTAACTTTTTTGGGATTCTAGGCCACCAATGACAAGTCACCAAAACAATACGAAAACCCAATTGGTTCTTTGGTCTCGGCGTCGTCTTGTTTACACCGAGGCGCACCCCACCCCATCCATTTCGAATTTCCCTTGACTTCCTCGTTCTCGTTTTCTCTGCGTCTCTCTCCCTCGCTCACTCTCTCTCTCAGCCTGTCTTGTGTGTCTGCGTCTCTTACGCGGTGTACACTGTCTCGCTCGCGCGCTTGGAGGGGGCGCCGCGATCCCCCGTTTTTCCTCTATTTTTCTGGCCAATTTTCGTTTTATTTAGTTCAACAGACAAAAAAGAAAGAAATTAGAATTTTTGGGGGACATTTTAAGCCTAAAAAATCGATATTTTGGACAATCTTAAAATGGCGAAAAATTCGATTTTTTCGCTTTGTTTTTGTGTCGAATAGTGAACATAAAAAAAATCACCATTTTATGATTTTCAGCGCTTTTTTTTGTTTTTTCGACCGCGGTCGACGGCCCCGGCGGGCGGCTGGCTTATAGGATTCGATTCTATTGAAAATTAGAAGTATAACTGACTCTGACTTGTATACAAACCGCACCACTCCACCACTAGTTTTCTCACGAATCAATCTGGTAGTAAACACACTCTAATAGAAGGGCAGCCCTATAAATGATATGAAAAATTAATCAACTGATAAAATGTTGGTGATATTATGATGAACATTTTATCAGTTGA